AGGTGAACCTTCAATTCCCAGCTTTGAGTGATTTTCTTTTAGCAAAATCCAGCAGTTTACTCTATCATTAAATTAAGGCCCCGTCCACACGAAGTCAAAACGAACACGAAACGCTGATATTTTCCAAAACGTTTGCCGTAAAGACGGAGACGTAAAATAAATGTGAGCGTCCACACGAATGCATGAAAACGCTGCAAAATGTATGCCAGGCCTGTAAGTGGCGCTGTGGTGCCAAAGCAAAAATAAGCGACGAAATGTTGGGCATGTGCACTAATATTTATACATGGTTGCCCTGCGGGTCCATTTTCGTGGTTAAGTGAAATTCAGGTGCTGAACTATGTCGTCGATATTGCTCTGTTCTTCCTGGAGATATTCCAGAAGAAGAAGATTCTGTTGTAAGCCCGACAGCAGGGTGAGTAGCATTAGCAACGGCGCCATTGTTGTTGTGATACTGGTCGCGCATGCGTGTGTAGAGGCGACGCTATGACGCATGCGTGTAAAAAAAAATATGCGGTTAGGGCGTAAAGATGGAAACGCGAAAACGGCGTTTCAGAATCTTCCCACTCTGAAGGCTGAATAAAAAAATTATCGTTTACAGACCCCCGAAACGCCGGCTTCGTGTGGATGAGAGGCTGGTTTGGTGAAAAATTTGTGCGTTTAGGCCAGGGTTCGTCTTCGTGTGGACGGGGCCTAAGTCTGACCACCACCTCCTCCAATCCTCACAGTAGAAAGAAAACCCCACAGCATGATGCAGCCACCACCAAGAGGGTGAAGTCTTAATTTTTCACCATACAAAGTTGACCAAAAATGTCCGTTTTGGTTTCATTTTCCACATGCTTATGTTGTTGTCTCTAATGTTTGGGGCAAACGTCTGGGTCTTCTGGAGCTTCTCGTCCAGTCAACAATTTTCTGCCCACAACCTCTGAAGTTTTCTCCTAACCCCCTGAATTTACACTGAGATTATATAACTCACAGCCTGAGTCAGTTTACAAGTAAGCTCACTTTTAAAACTGGCTGTTTCAGATTCTATTTGCAGGATATAAACACAAATGCGGCCCACATTTTCTCAGATTTTTTTGTTTTGTTTAGGAATATTACAAACATTGAATCCTTTTCCTTCTCAGTTACAAACTGTTCTGAACTTTGAGACTGAATGAAATGAGAAAAATGTTATTCGATAAATAAATGTTTAATTGGATGTGATTTTTCCATTTTACCCTGAAAGCGACACCTCAAAAGCAGCTAGTACACCCCCCCCTCCTTTACCCCACATTAGTCACTTCCCTCCAAGTAAGAAGCAGCTTTAATTGAATTAAATTATACCTTATGCATGCTAAACCACAAAGCAGCTACTTAGACAGATGGAGAGGTAAATGGGAAAGGCTTTTGCCTCTCCAGCTGATAACGGCGACACACACACACACTCATGCTAATCAAAACAAGACATGAAGTAATCTAATCTGAATCACTAACAATTATCAGCACATTGGCCCTGAGGCCAGACCTATTCCTTTGATCAATGTTTTCTATTAAAAAAAGTGTAAACAATTCAATATCTCCCTTCACCCCGCCTCCTTATGCATAGGGGGGTGTGTGAGGGGGGGTATTAACCAATTGTCCTTGGAAATGAGTCAGGAAATCAGGAGGAGAAAGAAGCTGAAAGGGTATGCCTGGCTACTTTAAGGAGCTAATCTGACTCCAGTCAGCCATCTTGCTGCACAACAGGGGACCGAAGAGGACCTTTCTTTTTGTCGCAGAGTGAAAAAAAAAAAAAAAAAAACTGGTGCTGCAGCAGCTTTGAAAACCTCTTTTAATTTGCTCTCTTTCTCTGAAGACTTTGGACACCACCAGTCCTTGGAAGGGTCCTCATTTATTTCCTCAGATTATTCCGAAATGCTTCTTCCTGGTGCCGACGCGTAAACGGCGACGCGCGCGCACACACAGGCACACGCAGCCTTCTGAAAAACATCTAATTCAAGGGCATATTTCCCTTTAAGGATTCCAGCAGCATGTGCAGGGCCAAGCGTCTGTTGCCTTTTAGATATTTCATTACCAAAAGGTATTTATTTCATTTTGCCCTCAAATCCCTTGTCACATTTTTTTTTTTATCCACCTCCATTTACTTACTTTTTTTTTCTGAAATATTTGGAGAAGTGACAGAGAGATTTGACCGCGGCGCTTTCCCAGGGTAACTCCTGCTTCATCAGTGTGCCCCTTCCTCTCAGTATATTATGTTCAGTGAAGCGTGCTCAGTTCAGAGCTGGCAATTTCAATCGCGTCGTTTCTAGTCTAGTTAGCTTCAGTGCAGTGATCCCCCCCCCCTCATTTTACCATGAATGTACTTTTGCTGACAGCAGTCAGTGGACAACATTTGCTCAGGGCACTGAAGAAACTGACGGCTGGCAGAATTTAGTTAGCACTGTCATAGAAATATTCAAAATGACCAAAGAGACTCAGAGAAGACGGAGAGTTCCTGGAGAGAGAGAGAGGAGAGGAGGAAGAAGTCCATCCACATTTGGAGTTTTTCTGACTTGATGCGCTCAGGTTCGGGCCGCTCAGCTGCCCATGAGAAAATGAGTCTCCTCTCGTTCCAAACGCTTTCGCAGAGAGAAGATGAGACAGTTTATTCCGGATGTTCCAACATGTTGGAGGTGTAGCGAGCAGGAGAACAGCAGAGGACGCATGGGGGAGCTGAAGAGACTGCTGGACATGCTGTTTGCCTCTACTGAAAACTGACAGAGCTTTCAATTCAATGAGAGCTTGAAGACTGGGGTTAATGCACGAGAAAAATATGAATAATAATCAAAGAATATCAAAAAATAAACCAGTTTCCTCATCTATTTACAGTTATTTTAAGGAATACAATGTGAACTTTAATAAGAACAATTAATGTAAGTTTCCTTATATGTCATTGTCAGATATGCAAATAAATATAAAAAACTTTAATAGGAGGCTTCAGTTTGAATAATCAACATTTATATGCCAAATGATCATGATCTTTTTTCATCCATCCATTTTCCGTAACGCTTTATCTCTTCCGGGGTTACAAGGGGTGCTGGTGCCTATCTCCAGCTGTCTATGGGTGAGAGGCGGGGTCCACCCTGGACAGGTCGCCAGTCCATCTCAGGGCAACAGAGACAAACAGGAAAACAACCATTCACGCACACACTCACACCTAAGGACAATTTAGAGAAGCCTAACCATGAAATCCCACATCCTCCGTCACCGCCCCGCTGTGTTCTACACTGCCTGCGCAAAGCAAAGCCTACAGCTTCCGCTGTTATTATTTCGATATTATTTATTTTAAAGGAGCAAAATACGCTTAATTAAAGCTTAAATTAATGATATATTAAAAAAATCCCCATCAGCATCCAGCATTTGTGCAGTTTCTGCCCAAGTATTTTCTTTTTGTGGTGGATTTTAGTAACAGGGATAACTAGGATCATACATGATTTGTATGAACTATGTTTGTTCTCTGATTCCAAACTCAGCATCTCTTCATCCATGACTGCGATAAGAAGTTTCTTTTCAAGTTGTGAGAGGCGCTTTTAAATGGATTTGATTGAACTTTTTAAGCTTTTCGGTATAAAATAAAAATTTTGACGGAGATGAGAAATCTGCTTCCTGGTATGATGAAGTACCAATAGTTTGCATCCAATCATTTAACTAAACGCTCTTAATTTTTGGGAATTTATAAGAATAATGCTCTAATGTTACCGATCTGTCGTTACCATATTTCAATTTGACAAACCAGATTTTCTTGTTGTTCTTTTTCCTGTTTGGTGCGATTGCTATTGCGGATCTTGACCCGGAGCAAAAAAAAGCTTGGCTCCGTATTTTGACGGTGATGGAGGGAGAAAATGTACGTGGACATTGACATGTGGAGGAGTAGCGGTGGATGTGGAGCAGCTCTCATTCATTAACACGACAGACAAATGCTCCGCACGTGAGCGGAGCGGAGTGTTGACAGAGTAAGTGGGATCTGGGGGTAACAGTCATGTTTTTGGACTGTGAGAGGAAGCCGGAGTACCCGGAGAAAAACCACATAAAACCGGCAGAAAGACCCAGGGCCGGGAATCGAACCCGGAACCTTTTTGCTACAAGGCAGTAGTGCTACCCACTACTCCCCTAAGCAGCCCTGATATTTCCTATCTGTTTTTCCTTTTATAAAACTTGAACTAAAAAGTGAATCACAGAAGATTCTGTGTGATGATGCATCACATCTTGGAGAAAACAAAAATGTTTTTTTTTTTAAATTTGATTATTTATTGAACTGGAAAATATATGGGTGTAAATCTTTCCATATTTGATCCGTGCATTACCAGTTTGATTCGTTTAAAAGAAAAATGGTTTAAATGAGTAACTGACAGCTTTATTAATGGATCATTTGGGATGACTTTCTCTACTTTTTAATACAAATTTAAAATTTTGAGCAACCTTTTTCTAAGATGCCAAAACAAAACAAAATGTATAAATAAATGACTTTTTAAATTAATTAATTTTATAAATTAAGTACGACTGGAATGATCACAGCCATTAAAGTCTAAAAAAAAACGTACTTCTCTAAAATTAAAAATTCAGTTTTTGAACCACTAATATTATTGACTCATTTCATAGTCCAATGCTAATTATAACTGTTAGCTCTATGAATTAGTTAGCACAGCTAGCATTGATGGATTACAGGAGAGCTGCTGTACTTGGTTTAAACGTTTCCTTTATCATAGACGCGAGATTCCCACTTCCAACTCAAATTATTACAAGTTACTAATATCTTCATTAAGTCAGTGAAAAAGTAGTTTAAACTGGTAAACAAATACATTACCCTGCAATCACAGTATCTCTAAATTAAATAAGAATGAAAAATACTTTGGCCGTCCATCTCAAATTAAATATTTTAAATACAAACGGAGAAATTGTTGTGGGATTTTGGCCCTTTTGGTCGGCCATATTTCTCAGAGTTAAGAAACAACATCAGAAAAGTTCTTGAGGCGGAGACTTACATCAGAGAAGCCTGAAGTCCTGCTTGTTGGCAGGACCGCTGAATTGAGGACGTTCTTGTTCCCGGCTTTCATAGCAGCGTCTCTGCGGGCCTGCTCCAACAGCAGCCGGGCTCTCTCCTTCAGCTCCTCTTGGCGGGACAGCACTTTCTACATGAACACGTTTAGGAACAGAAAGCAAAACACGGCTGCACCAAACAAGAATCTCTCAGCATAAATGTGATTTGATCAGTTTCAAAAACACTTAATGCTCAGTTAGATTTAGTTTTTCTTTCTGGTAGCAAACATCTGACTCACCTTCTCTGCTGGAGGACTGGATACAGCTGCAGGCGATGGCTCCTTTAATAAATAGAAAGATGTCTGTAAAATCTACTCTGGTTTCATGCAAACATCTTTCACTGTTTAAAGCAACACTGCAGGTTTTGACCCAAGCTTTAGCTTTGCGCGATACAAACCTTCTAATGTAGCTTGAGAGGATTGAATCAGTCACTAAATGAGTCATGTGACCTGAACTTCCCTTAAAAAAAGGAGTGTTTGCCATCTAAGCAGATATGAAACTTACCTGATCGGACATATTTACGGCTCTGTGATGTAGGATTCAATCTAAAAAGGTGAATTGACCTTGACTTTACCAAGTAACTCCAGGACTTTTCAATCTTCTGTTCCACAGAGCAGTGTTTCCCAACTTTTTTTAACTTGTGTATCCCTTTGGATATTTTTCTTATCATGGGCACCCCTCTCAGTCAAAAGTACTGATGAGTGTCCAAAAGTGGAAATGTACAATAACTAATTATAAAATAAAAAATATTTTACTCAATCTAATTAATCTTAATTATTAGGCATTTAATGCTTTTCATCCCAAATAAAAACAGCGTAAATATGTTGCCTGGAAGTTGGTAAGAAATCAAAATAGCTACAAAATAAAATAATATTTTAACCCTGTATTATAAACTGGAGCTTCCTTATAATCACATTAAAAGTTGATGAATTGGGAAATAATTATAAACCAAAAATTAATTAATTAGTTTTACCTGAGCTGCTTTGATGAGCTCCAATAGCTTAGCGTGAAAAAGAGCAGATACCAAACTGTTCTCTACATCCAGTCCATTCCTCTGCTTAGTTTGGATGTTTTTCAAAGCAGAGGTGAACTAAAACATAAGAAAAACTTTGTTTTTGGTTGATAAAAGCTTGTTTAAGTTTTCAATTGGTCCTTAAAAAGCAAAATCGATCCCAGCCCTATTTTATTTTACTACCTACGAAATAAAATATTTTCATGTACCCCGCACAATGCACATGAGGACCCTTATTGCTATTGCTCAATGCTATAAAGGTCTGCTATCAGATTCCAAAACACAGAGGGAGATTATTTAATCAAGGTATATTGGGCTATAAAGTTATTTATATTGAGTTTGATGTCTGATCAGGGACTCTGAACTCCTGCTTGGCTCTTACTAATGTTACACTGTGAGCAATAATGCTTATATGTAGAGACTGCTCCTTATTAAATGACAATTAGATGAAGACATGCCTGCACACAGAGCTGTGATCTAAAGCTGTGATCTGTGATGTTTCTTCTAAAATCAGAAGAAACAGCCATTAAGCTATTTATTTTTTCACCGCATTGTTTTGATATTTGTAAGCGTTTCAATCTAACCTGGATGAAGGTGACGATGCATCCCATTAACCTGACAACAGCACGTCAAAAAAAAGAAATCAAACACCCACCCTGCAGCCCCCACTGCCTGGTCCGTGTGACCTTTCAGCGTGTAAACAAGCAGCGGTAATCTGGGGTTAACCGATGCAGCCCTGCGCCGAGCGTGTTAGCGTGCACACACGCGGACAGGTGTGTGTCAGAGTGTAAGACGAGATGATGTCTGCTCGGTGCAAAGCATCGCCACGGCTGAGCGGTCACGGCACAAACTGTCATCAACTGCAGGGATGGGAAATATAATGAAAAATATAATGAAATGTCAAAGCAGAGGGGGGGGTTCTGTTGGGCGCATTCGGTAGTCGCCACATGTTAAGGGTCCCGATGTGTCGGGCTTTTGGCAGCAAGACAACTGACAACAACATCTAATGGAGAATGGAGGAATTTCAGCTACGGTCATCTCTGCATTTGTATCAACAATGTTGGGATTTGAAGCTTAGCGAGCGCCGGGAGGAAATGAATGTTCCAGGAATCCTCTGTCTTCTGACTGACGGGCAGTGGGAGAAAGTTTCAATCAAAGTCTGGGTGTGAGGATAAAAAAAAACATCAACAATCCATTTAGGGCCCAGACAGGCACCTGCAGGTAAACGCTGTTGGAATCTTAATACCCGACTTAAGTAGAGAGGATGAGTTTATAAAACACAGGCTGGTCCTCGGGTTGTTTAAGGTACAGATTTATCAATTAGTTTTATAGATTACTGAACCAGGTACCGGAATGAATAAACCAAAAAGCTCCAGATGATTCACAGGAACTTTAGGTGAACCACCAGACTGCGTAGTAACAAGTTAATGGCTGTTTCTCAACAATTAATTCCTATTTAACCCCTCAGAGTCATCACCGTTTCTAACCATCCTTGGTTGTAATCACAGCTCCCAATCTGTTAGAGGTTTGTCTCAAACATTTCTGCACAGCAGCAGAATGAGATTTCTGCTCCTTGTTGAGCCAGAGCTCAGTAAGATCGGATGAAAAGAATCTCTGGAGTTTCATTTGAAATCTGGGCTCAGATTTTCCATTAGATTTAAACTGAAACCATCCTAATACACGAATAACCTTCGATTGAGGCATTCCATAATCACTAACTATTTAGATGTGTTCCAGTCATTAAAATGGCTAAATGTGTGAGAAAGGCAAGCAGACCTTTTTAAAAAAGATTGGTAAAAAAAAAGGTCGCTCTCAGAAGCTCAGTTGAACTTCAGTGGTGTGATGCCACCTGCGCAAATTATTTAACAGCCATGGTATCACAACAGAATGACAGCAACTCGGCTAGCGGCCAGTCAGATGAGAGTTAAGGTGCATTGCAATTTAAATGGTATTTTTTCCCTTCTCTTACATACCTTTACAATCACCTGATGTTTAAAGCTTTCCTATTAGAATGTGATCCGAACTCTCGTTCAACAAGCCCCAGAAGGACATTGACCCGGTCACAGACTCCACACGAGTGTAAGAAAATGAAAGATTTTTTCTAATGCGACAAAAAGGGACAAATTTGAGTCTGATTTGCGACTGAATAAGTTGAGAGTAAAAACTAGGGAAGCTTTGGACAAGATGGCAGCTCAGCTCTGCCCTGGGAACGGACCTTCTTTTTGCTTAAAAGCGTAAGACGCTCCATTCAAAGAAACTTTTAATATGTTCTAGGGCTGAAACAATGATCGTGATTAATAAAAAAATTAAATAATTGTCAACTAATTTAGTAATCTATTGATCGTTAATTGGAGCATACTCTAAAATGTGTCTTTAGGTGACCCAACCCACCTTGAGGACCAATTATGCCAAAAATATGTAAACATTTTGTATTTAAGTTCAACTTTTTCATCTGTCAATCCAGAACTCCTCAAGTAGAAAGGTTTTAGTTTCACCTGGTTTAATTTTGTGAAAAATCTTCTTTAAGGACACTTTGGCTATCTGATTATTAATCTTTTAAATAAAAAAAAATAATCGACAGATTGATCGATTTGCAAAATAATTGTTATTTGCAGCCCTATTTAAAACATTCTTAAGACTTTTTTGTGGGCAAATGTCTGCGAAATCTAGTGTACTCACTATACACTACAGGTACGGAAATACTTTTGACCATACTTTTGTTTTTTATTATAATTTGTGCAGTTGTGATCTACTTTTTTATCTATTACCTAAATCTGGATTGAGAGTCTTTACTAACTTGTTCTGTGTCTGCTGGGTCAATCTGCTTGTACTAGATTTTATCTATGGATTCATGTAACGACTGCCTGCCACACTTTTTAGATCTTCCAGTAAAGAAAAACTTTAATGCTTCACGCAAACAGCACTTTATATCTACCACATGGCAGTTTGTGGCCATTACCATGAGAAAATGTGAAGATGAACAAGGTGTCTGGGTGGGTTTACCTGTTTAAGGGGGATATCTGCGTGGTTGACTGGAGGGGAAGTGGAGTTTGAAGCTGGCTCTGAGTCTGAGTGACGCAGGCCGGCCCGTTTCTTTTTAATGAGGTCCGCGTCCTTGTTGTAGGAGAAGTGTGATAGAGAGTTTCCTCTCCTTGTCGGGGACGACAGTTCGCTACCCCTATCCTCTAACACCTCCTCCTTGTGCTGCGCCTCCTTCTCCACCTCTCTATCCACTCTTTGCGGAACCTCAGAAAGATCTAAAGTGTTGGCTTTGAGTAGAACCCGCCTGTCCTCTGAGCCCGGAGGGGTCATGTGGGCAGAGTTTATAGCGGTGCTAGCTAATGCAGTGCGTGGCGAAGGGACAGGAGGTGTAGACTGGAAAGGCTCTGGAGCTTGGGAGCCGGTTGATTCTGCTCCGGCTTTCATCTCCCCTTCAATAACCTCGGCACCATTTGATTGAACGGCGCCACTAGATGAAACGGGCTCCGAGTTAGCATCACGGTGCTGCACGTCATTGAGCTCGGCGTAGAACTTGTCCTGGTCTATCGAGGCATTGGTGTCCGTCTCGAAGTCGCCCACTTTGTAGGTGCTGCGGCTGCTGTTGGCCTCTATCTGCACCACGTTGAGCTCCTCGCCAGAGAAATGGGCCCTGATCTGGTACAGGTAGGTCATCACTGTGAGCTTGTCTGGGATGGCGAGGAGCACCATGTCAGATGGTTCCAGGAGACGAGATATCCCTAGACTGGCAAAGCCATCATATGCCTAGAAAAGAGGAGGAAAAAAGGCATTTTCAATTACAACTCATTCCTGAAAGCAGTAATTATTTGACAAAAGAAGGACTGAGATGGAGGGGTTGGTCTGGTTCCGTTTTCCAGGTAGTTGGTGCATCAAACACATGATGTAAGTGCATGCTATATTATGTTCATGTGAGACACCTCTGCCAGGAGTCCTGGCAGGTCATGTCAGCGTTGGCTGTCCCCGATAAGAGACGCAGATATCCCAAGACAGAGCGCCTAATCCTAAAGTGTGTGAGCGCGAGCGAGCGCGTCTTTATCGCTTGCCTGCATCGACGTGCCCACGCTCTCCGTCACGCGTGTAATTGGTCTGATTAGGTTCTGATGAGAAAATACAGGTGTGATTATCAAGCGACAGACGAAAACCAATCCCCCATCACAAGATAGACCGAGACACAGAGAGAGGAGATGAAAACCATTATCGCTGCCAATGACAGGTAAATAAATAGATTAACTGCTCGCACACATGCCGCCAACAGTTCCTGCACGCACACACAACATCCTCATCCGTCCCTCCCAGGTATCACAGCTTGTATCTGGCCTGCTTGATAGTGTTGATCTAATTCCGACCTGTTGCGGTGCAGGTTTGTTTCACTCTCTGCGGATCTCCAGACTCCATCGGTTTGTCTGTGCCTCTCATACTATGGAGACCACATCCTCCTTCTTTTAACCCTGAGATGTTTCTGGAAGAGCCTGCTTAACCTTTTTTGGCCCCTGTCCTGCTTCCTGTTTTCCTCCTTCACCCAAAACACCCTTTCTTAATCCTGAAGAGGGCATTATTAAGCATGCATGACTTTTTATTAAGCCCCTGCTTTGCATTTATTACTTACGCCTGTAGGATGTCACAAAATCTGCTGCACACTGAGACCCTGACATCAATCATGATCTGAAACCTGGGAAACATGTAGCAATACAGCAACGATCCACAAAATAAACAACAGGCATGAGCAATACATCTAACTCTCATCATTTACCTAAAAATCCCTCCGAACATTGGGGACATTTACTAAAAGTGATTACAGTTAATACTAGTATCTGGCTATTGTGATTTATTGCAGAAGCAACACTTTTATTTATACAGGGCTTAGGTAAAACAAATTCAAGAACTCTTAAGGACCAGTTTCCTTAAATTCATGGAGCATATGCAGAAGTCTTTACCTCCTGTCATCACTGAAAATATTTACAACAGGCTATTTTCGTACAATTTCACACATAAGAAAACTAGATACATTCATATCCACAATACATGGATAACAGGGTTGGCCCAAGGTATAAACTAAGACTAAGAGTCTGCTTAGGTTGGCATGGCAACTAGGGGGAGAAGGGGGGAGAATTTTAAGAAGAATTGTCTTTTTTTTTTTGCAAGTATAATGATATATATATATATATATATATATATATATATATATATATATATATATATATATATATATATTTATATATATATATATATTAGAGCTGGTCAATGATTAAAAGTTTTAATCGCAAAAAAACAATAATGAATTCAAAAGTAGTGTATAGCACAATTTTATTTTAAATGTTCTGCCATATTAAAGGTAGTGCCATAACATTTGTTCTGCAAACACTTAACAACAGCATTTTGTTTATACAGTAGCAGTTAAATAAAAACTGCCCACAAAATCCTGAGTCACAATCATAACATTAAAACAGGCAATTTCTGAGGTAACAGCAGAAACATTTTTTTTTTATCAGGGAGCAGCATAACCAGTCTAGTACCAAATGTCCATGTTAGAGTGAGGTGAAGCACAAAAAAAAGTTAACTGCTGGTATTTACTGTGCAGGGAAATAGTCTGTAAATAAACTAATCTGCAGTCTGTAGCTATCCACTTCACTATGGCATTTGTTAGCTTCTCTTGCCTTTGTTTATCTATACTTCTCCCACACGCTGCATCTAACGTAGTCTGCTGAAGCCTCGTGCCACTGTCTGTTTCATTAAATGATTTGCTTGTATCAACTGTGTGTTTTGCATTTAGGTGATATTTTAAACTCGTACTCTGGTGATAAGACAATTCTACTTTGCAGTGATTACAAATAACTTTGCTTCTGTCGACTGCGCCGTCTGAAAGAGCTTTAAAATGAAAATGGCGGTGTAGAAGTGCCGCACCCTTCTCCATGTTTATTGGTTTGTTTATCCACCAATTTCTTTTCTTTTTCGGTTCCTGTACTTCCGGTTCCGGTACTTTTAGTTTTACCAAATAAAAGCCTGGGAGCAACAGACTTTTACAGTAATAAAAGAAATAATAAAAACTGCATTATGCGATAAAATAATTGTCGGTGTTAATTGATTGATGAGTTAACGGGATAATAACGAGTTAACTTGCCCAGCCTTAATATATATATATTATTTATTTTATTTTTTTTTTACAAAACACCATGGGGTTTGGAATTACACACAGATGTAAGGAAAGCCAGTGTAAACTTCTCCAGGACAAACTTATCATGGAGTAACAGTCTGATAGTTATGAGATGCATATCCTAATGTACAGTTTATTGACCAACCTCACTATTATATCTGAGGAAAAAGCAGCTTAAAATGTTAATGTTTCTGTTTTTTAATACAAATTTTACATATAGTAAAATGCATTTACAAGGTTTTAAGTTAATTATTCAACTTTAAAATTCTTTTTATTCCTACTATGTTTACTGTCAATATATTTTCATGATTTAGGAACTTGCTTAATATCTTAAAGTTTATTTCACTTTTGTCTGTTTTGTATAACGTAATGAATTACTTTAATCTGTCAAAGCTAATTTTTTTTATTTTTTTCCTGTTTTTGCACAAAAGCTTCATTACTACATTCATTTATATTGCTGTTGCCGCTGGAACCAAAAAGTAAAAAACCACATGACAAGTTACAGTAAATAAACTTCATATTAGTGTTAAGATGATAATTTCTCATTCATGTACAGTATCTCCTTTTAAACCCTGGTATCATCTACCTGCGAGCTCTTATTGCTAGGCTGTGAAAGAGAGCAACAACTGTGATGCTTAAAACGGGCAGAAAGAATAACAGAATAAAGCGTTGGACAAAAAGGATCTTTAACAGCAAGGCTTTCAACCCTGGGTTTGTTTCAGAAACAAAGTTAATCTCAATCTGCTTTAAACCTGAAATCTATCATTCTAACCCCTTGAAGGGTGAAATTCAAAACTCTCCATGTATATATTTATCAATACCCTTGAAAGAATAGAAACGCTTCAGAGCAATAAAAGTCTTTGGACAAGATAAAATAAAGGAATTTAGAAACATTGGTTATTTAAGCCAATGTCTCCCAGATCTCTTGTTTGGGTTTGTTGTTTTTTGTTTTTATCTGCATAGTTGTTTGTTTTTTTAAATCACTTTATCAATCTCTCTTTATAATAATTATCAATACTCTGTTCTCTTCATTTTTTTTATTTCCTCTTCTACTGTCCCACTACAGTGCACTTTTCATGTGACATTTTATCCATGTAGAGCAATTTGAATCATTGTGCTACTGAATGTGCTAAATAGAGACATGCCAAATAAACACAATGAGACCGACTAAGGTTTGGTCTGACATTTGGTCCCAAACTAGCATCAAAACTTTAAACTATGTCATCCCAAAAACTGTAGATGCTGTATCAAGGTACAGTTTAGTTTTATACTATAAGCAGAAAGTGTGATCTAATAATCTAATATCAATGTCTGAGCAACAAGCTATTGTTTTGGGAACGATCTACTCCCCCATCCTTGTCATCTGCCCAGTGAAGCCTTGGGTCTGGACCTAACGCTAACAGCTCCAGCCCCAGGCCCACGCCCCCCCTCTCAGTGACTGACAGCTATCTATCGCTGTCAATCATCAGCTCCTCCTCCCTTCAGCCCAACCCCTCCTGGTTGTGCTGGAGGCGATTCAGCCTGGTGCTTGGTGCAACACTATCAGATGGCATGACAAATTATTTCTCCTTGGCCTCATTACACACATCCACACACATACAGGACAAAAAAAATAAAAAGAGATTCAAGCTCCTCAAATCCATCAGAGCTTCCAAAACCCGGCATCTAATAATACATCCATAATCATTAGAAGACTAGGAATGTTTCTGCATACTTTGGATTGAGTAGTTTTTATGGTCTCTGCATGTAAGATGTAATATTCCCGATGGTCTTGTTTTTTTTTTTCTCATCACCCTAAATATTGATTGTCCTTATCTGTCATAATTCAGCAGAGTCTGAGCTGACTGCAATCACTCTGCACAGATAGCCTTTGAGAGGAGGAGGAGGGGCTGCTCTGAAAACCAGCTAGGAAAAGCAGACAGAGGCTTTCTCTACACACTTCTATTTTTGTTGTCCAGCTAATCATTTCTAAACAACAACAAAAATGTTACAATATTCAGATAAGAAACAAGTGTATCCTATTCCGTTAAGATCGTCACACATTTTAATTTTTTTCTGAACATTTAGCTTCTTTTAATTACTTTTCTCCCATTTCTGTTCATTAAAGGTGATAGCTACAAGTTTTACTCCTCCCAGCCAGTAAGTGGCGCACTCATTCTCAGCCGCTCTCACTATGTACTGTTTAGCAGCTGGTTGCCAGGTCTGCTACAGCTCATCTTTTCAATAGAAAAGCAGAAACCTTGTTGTGAAATCCCCTTTGCTTCCTTAACTCCACACAAACATTCAAAAGCTTAACTGATTTTGACCCTAGCGTTGCTTCTTTTTCATTTTTATGTTATAAAGATAATAAATTGTTTCTCTATTCTCTGCTCCATCATGGAGCTACTGGGATCTGGCAACGCCTGAGCTCCATCTGACGTGACTGTCGTTACCCGATCCGTCCCGGGAAGCACAATCCGTACCATGAGCTCATTTGAGCATGTGCAACCAGATATATATCCGGGTTTCCATTATTCAAGTAATTATAGTACTAAAATTACTTATTTCTATCCTTACCTCTCTAAAGGATGCTAATATACATTTTTAAAAACAG